TTCCGATGTAGGAGCCCTCAACAGCTTCTGTAAAAAGCTTCCTAAGAAATATCTCGCCTTGATATCTATGGTTATTGAAAGTTTTGATTATGAGCCGATGTATATGTGCTTATTCCGATGTAGGAGCCCTCAACAGCTTCTGTAAAAAGCTTCCTAAGAAATATCTCGCCTTGATATCTATGGTTATTGAAAGTTTTGATTATGAGCCGATGTATATGTGCTTATTCCGATGTAGGAGCCCTCAACAGCTTCTGTAAAAAGCTTCCTAAGAAATATCTCGCCTTGATATCTATGGTTATTGGAAGTTTTGTTTATGAGCCGATGTATATGTGCTTATTCCGATGTAGGAGCCCTCAACAGCTTCTGTAAAAAGCTTCCTAAGAAATATCTTGCCTTCATATCTATGGTTATTGAAAGTTTTGATTATGAGCCGATGTATATGTGCTTATTCCGATGTAGGAGCCCTCAACAGCTTCTGTAAAAAGCTTCCTAAGAAATATCTTGCCTTGATATCTATGGTTATTGGAAGTTTTGTTTATGAGCCGATGTATATGTGCTTATTCCGATGTAGGAGCCCTCAACAGCTTCTGTAAAAAGCTTCCTAAGAAATATCTCACCTTGATTCTTTTGCGTTAGTTACTTTTATTCTGCTCTATCTACTAAAACTTTTGCTGCCTGAAAATCACGAAGTTCCTCATTTTACATTTATTAGCTTATATGTAGAGGAAACAAACACAGAGTATCTTTAGGTCTTCTGCGATTGTCAATTCATCTCTGCGTGTGAAGTTTTGCTCTGATATTTTGTATATTCGATTCACAGCAACTCACAAATCACATTCGTGAAACTTTACCAACATTGAAGAATAAGTTACAAGATCAAGTTTTATCGATGGAAAAAGAAGTTGCAGAGTACAAAAATTTTAGACCAGATGATCCAACTGCAAAAACAAAAGCACTCATGTTGTATGTTACCTTTTTTCTTTTTCGCTTTATTCTAAATTTTTAAATTATACAATTAAATTTAATATTCAAATATTTGAATTTCTTTGGTTTGTTGTTGCTACGATTCTGTTATCATTTCAAATTCATTTTATGCCTTCCAATTATCGTTGCCAATTATACTGACAGCCCCAAGGTATAGATTATTGCCAAACGATAAATTTCCTTGCAAGGTACTTTAAAATGGAACTTGCAACTTTGATTGCAAATTGATGTCAAATTAAAGCTGTTTAACTCTCAGCTAATTTATATAGAAAGTATGAAATCAAATTGTATCAAAAGCAAGTTTTATGTCGAGTATATCAGAGTTAAAGTCAGTTTGTTTTATTGTTTGTTTGAAAGCCTGTAACGTCTTGATGTTCGGTTTCCAAAATCAAAGTTTTATCTAGAAGTGTTTTGTTCACGTGGTTTTGCTGCTAGTGTTGTGTCTGCTCAACTAAATATGTTTTTTAGTGGCTTGGGTATTTGGTTAGTAATTCAATTGATTTTGAATTACACGGTCGTCTTTGCATAAGCTTTTTAGCCAATATACATGGTTGATTTAAAACTGTTAACGTTATGATTAAGGTAGCACCCGAGATTGCTTGTAACTTTCATACTGTTTTGTTATCAGGATGCTGCAGAATTACAGTGCCGACATTGAGAGAATCATTGAAGGAGGTGGTGGGGATGAAATCGACACAGCTCAGCTGTCAGGTGGAGCTAAAATTAACCGAATCTTCAACGAGCGTTTCCCGTTTGAATTAGTAAAGGTAAGTAAATATCCATCATTAACCTAAGTATTCACATGCTTTTGATGAGCAAAGCTTTAAACCAAACGTTTTGATTCACAAGAACCGTGATTGCCGTGATGATACTATCTTTATTTAGTTTGATTTTTTTTGTCTCCCTGTAAAGTAAATTTAATTGATATCTCAGCAATGGTTATTATTAGTTCAAGTATTTTTACAGTTATCGCTCTTCATGTTTGTAATGATTGATGACAAAAAGTTCCTTTTGGTTTCATTCTTGTTTGGTTTCGCAGAAGACCGTTTTCGATGTATTTGTAATCCCGTTATTTTCCCTTATTTTCCCAGGTCGAGTATGACGAAAAGCAGCTTAGAAGGGAAATAAGTTTTGCAATTAAGAATATTCACGGTATCAGGTAAGCAGTTTTAAGTTTTTTTCATTTCTAAGGATTATCTGGTACTTAGATTCTGCGAATGTTGCCACGCAGGATGAATTCTATTCGATTTCTATACCTTTTAAAATTTTTATAGTTAAAATCATGCACCGTTCAATTAAGAACTAATTTCTGAAGTATTTGCAACTTCTTCCGTGAAATTCTTTAATATTTAATTCTCAAAGACGTCTTACCAAAGACAAAAACATCGCAAGCAAAAACTGCTCATTTGTCAAGAAATGAAGAGTGGTTTTCTCGCCTTGACTTCTCATCTTCCTGATGGGATAGCTAGCGAGCTGTTCTTCCTCCCACATTACTCTCAATCTGCATCTAGATTTGGATGTCCCATTACCTTTAAATAATTATCCAACCTTGTATACTCTAATGAATGTCTGATGCAGAGGTGGAAAAAGTATCGGAACCTGGGAACATAGTTCCCAGAAATTTTTCTAGATAAAAATGTAGCAGAAAGTTTCACAGAAAATTTTTGAAGTGTTAGAGTAAATGTAAAAATCTGGTGACAAATGTTAAGTCAAATTAACAGAAAGTATTATTTTCAACTCGCCTATGAGCAGCTAAATTTGAGCTGCCAAAGGACTGTGGGAATTAGTCTCTTTTCATTGGAAAGAAATTCTTGGTGCATATTATTTACATTCGCCATCTCACAGAAATCTTAGCCACTCACGATCAGAATTTTTTTAGCAGCTGAGCTTTCAAGACAAACCACGATTAAAACTGAGAATAATATAGAGACTGGAATCTACTTTTACAGAAAACATTTCTGACACCATGGTGTGAGCAGCATTGATCATAAGTTAATATGCTTAGTTAAATTAATTTGTTGCATGCTAGGACTCCATTTCAACCACATGTTGCTTCTCACTTGTCAAAAGATTAGGCAAAGCCTTCTCCATAAATTGCACCATACGATTCAAATGATTTTGCCCTAACTCTTCTGAAACTATGTTTGGAGATTTTTGCATGGATTTTCCTTTTGATTTTCCATCATGATGATTGATTGAATGAATCAATTTCTAGTTAAAGTTGATTTCTTTCTTATGTGGATTTATGCATTAAATAAAGGCATATCTAATATGTTGAGAATGACAGTTTTGGAACAATAGTCAAGATCTCCGATGTTAAATGACACTGATTATGTTAAGAAGTTGATTGCCTGATAATTTTATGCATTCGATTTAACCTTCTATAGAAATACTTCGAGAGAAAAAAAACAAATTAAGCATCAAAATAAAAACAGATTGAACATTCAAATGAGAAGTATCATACTTCTTAAAACTAAGTTTGCCCTCTTTTATACATCAACCAAGTATAGAGATATAGGCACAAACAGAAAGTTTATTTGTCTACCCCCTAAATCTTGCAGAAAGTTTTGAGCCAGATTCTTAGGTTCCCAGAAAGAAGAAAATTTTTTCCACCTCTGGTCTGATGAACCGTGCATGATGCGTAAGGCTTGTTTAACTATCAATGTTATTGTTATAGGTCCGGGCTGTTCACTCCAGACATGGCATTTGAAGCAATCGTTAAAAAGCAGATCGATCGCCTGAGATCACCAGCTATAAGATGTGTTGATATGGTCATGGCTGAGCTCGTTACCATCGTCAAAATATGTACGAACAAGGTATGCTTTGCATATTCTTTTTTCAACGATTGTTAAGGGAAAAGGCCTTAAGAACAGAGCAATCCCGAACTGAAATCAATTAGAAGATGTACCTCCCCTTCTTTTTGGGGACATACATTCATTTAAAGTTATTATTGATCTAAACTTCAAAGTTTTAGTTCTATTTTGATATCTGTTTGTCCTTGAAAAACTAAGGTTCTTTTTTAGAATCTGTGTTGAGAATCTAAAGGCTGCAGGGTGGCAATATATTTACATGCTCCTTGTGGTATCAGTTATAATATAATTATTAGTCAGTGAATTGTGCTTTTTTGGTCGTTATTTTTTAGTAAAAATCCTTAAATTACGATTCAAATTCCTTGGTATTACTTTTTATTGTCCCCTTTGAACTGTGTGCACAGCTTGCAGTTATTGCTCAAAATGATCTTTGCCTTTTTTGAAAGTTTTGTCCTTGAATGATAATGTAAAATGGTGTAGCATCTTATAAGCTCGCGTAGCAACAAATTCGTGAACTCTGCTTGTTATATTTTATTTAAAGCATTGAACAAATTCTAATCTTCTTTACGTCATCTTGAATTTTGTTTTCTCTTTCAAAGATGGAAAAATACCCAGGATTAAAAGACGAAGTTGAAATGATTTGTCTAACAGAAATAAGAGAATCTGAAATCAAAGCGAAAGAACAAGTATGTATCAGAATTGAGTTTCATTTTGACGATTCCCGCAAAATTTTGATAATTCCCGCGAATTTAGATTCATTTTGACAATTCCCGCGAAATTTTGATAATTCCCGCGAATTTAGATTCATTTTGACATTTCCTGCGAAAGTCTTGAAAGATTCAGAATTTTATCCTTTGTTGACGTATTCGCGCCCTAATATTCTTCCAAATGTATGTAACCCGAGCTGACAGATAGTTGTTCTACAAATAATTCATGACATATAACAAAATCTTCAAAATCTACTATAGGTTTAATTAATCACTTTGAAAATTATGTTACCATGTGCTGCAAATAAGAAAATAGACCATGATTTACAACAATAAAACCATTTAAATGTAAGGTTTGTCGTTTAATACTTTAAGTAATAATTTTCGAATCATTGGGCTCGTTCGCCTGATCTTGCTACCAGTGCCGTGGTCAATATAAAAACAACATACTTTTATTGAAAAGTTTTTGTTTAACTCGGACATTGTTGACTTCAATGAGTTTCTCTCACATTCCAACACTTCCTGGTTAGTGACTTCTGTTTTTTGTTTCTCTATCTGATGCTAATGTTATTCTAGAACGCAATTTCCAAGAAACAGTTCTACCTACTAATTTATGTGCCCTTTCAAGGCAAAGCTTTCGTGTGCAAAATTTTATCGTAGTTCCTCTCGTGTGCAAAATTTTATGGTTATTCCGTTCTGGATCATTTTAGGTTAAGTTGCTGGTTGAGATTGAACTTGCTTATATCAATACACAGCATCCGGATTTCATTGGCTTTGCAGAGTAAGTGCAAAAAGTATTTTCTTAGTCTAGTGTGGAACAACT